GGCTCAAAATATCTGCAGAAGAAAACAAAACTAGTTCTTTACAACTTCTTATTGTGAATCACATACTGCAGAAGTATTTTGAGCCCTGGTAAGGCTAAGGAATGCCAGGACTTTAACTGTATGTGTCCCTTGTTATCCCTGCATGTGCTCACCCGTTATCTTTCTCTGGTGCTACACAGAGGAGAAAGCAGAAGGTCCAACTGTGCATCAAGGTACCCGCTCTCCTAATGGTGTCGTTTCCAGTAGTAGTGTCACGCGTGCTTCTGTAGGTTTTACTCATCTTTAGAACGATATTCGTGGACCTGACTCCATTAGTCCCTTGTTATTAGAGGGACAGTTCACTTCTGGTACAGAAGAATTCATGGCAAATAGACTTTTGTTACAAGTAAGCTATCATATCTTGTTGGAACATTGATCTAGTAGTGGAATTTTTTTTTTATGTTTGATGATAGAAACCCTATTCTCCAAGCAGAGGTTTGGTTCAGAGGCTTGGGGTGGCCAGGATTTTTTTCTCCCTTGTTAAAAATCCCAGGCACTTCAAGCCTCTGAACCAAACCTCTGCTTGGAGAATAAGAAATCCCTCAGTATGTGGTACCCTCTGTGGTGCTGTAGAAATTTGATAGACAGAAAAGCATCTTTTCACAAAGATTAGTACCACAGAATTCATTCAAGTTCTTGTCCTTTGCCCATGAGTATCATAATAAAGATGAGTACAGTTAGTACCTAATACTGTTTCTCATGTGTGTTACTGTAGCAGGTTAACTGCACACTGCTGCGTAGTTCACTACTAACAGTAACACCTACATCCACCTACATGTGTCTCAGCTTTCTGTCTCTAACAAACCATATACTGGTTTTCATCTGTGAAGGAGATACTAGAGTTACTGTGTATGATATTATGGAATATTGTATATACAAGGTGTGCCCGGTATATATTTTGAAAAGACAGCCGTTTCAACTGTAGCGCAATATACAATACTTCATGGCATAATAAATAACTGATCCATACAAACCAAGTGCTACATTCACATATCATTATTGAACAGCAGTATTTAGAAAACAGTGGGTTTTTTATTTCATTTTCCATTAGAAACATGTAACGTACATGAAGTTTTATTTTCTGTGTTTAGCTGTCTTGGCTAGAAGCTGGCTAGCAGCTGCATGCATTGTCCTGTTTACCACTAACTCTAATGTACTTGTGTTACAACTGCATAACACACTTGCCAGCAATGCCTTGCCTAACAGTGTTTAGCTTTAGTGAGATTGATCATTAACAACATGGTGTTAGTGGTTTGCAACCAAGAACTGAGAACACACCACTGTTTTTGTGGAGTCAGCAACATCAAGTTAATATCTAATACATGTATTTGATATTTTCTTATCAACAACGTACCAGGCCTCAAATTTAACATGTTTCCATGTTTTGTATACATTATCTTTTTTCAAATGTACATAAAAGTTACTGGCACATGAACATGCAAAAACACCTACCATACATGTAGTGCCAGAGTTCAGAAGTGTCATAAAACATGTGTAATTGTATGTTTTTGGGTGGTTTTTAGAACCTCCTGTCAGAAGCAGAAGGCCAGCCCACCCTGCCCACCCCTCAGACCAACAGATCGGTCAGCCAAATCAGTAACCTGTCCACCGCCAGCTCCACCCTGTCTCCCAACGGTAACGCCATGTCCCCCAACAGTAGTGGGGCGTCTCCTAACAGACACAGCACCAGTGCCAGCTCTATCTCACCTATACAGAGGTGAGACTACTGTACAGTATTCTGCACACACTGTTATACATTGTAGAGATATGTTGGTGAAGGTTAGACATGCAGGTAATAAGATACGCCAAAAAACAGTTACTCAAGCAACTGGATATGATTTTGGAAATGGTCAGACGTTTCAGCTAGTATCTACTAGCTTTCGTCAGTGACAGTTGTTGTACTGTGTATAGTTTTCATGCGACACCATCGTTGTTGTGTCCTCTGCCATGTTGGTGTGCTTATTTGCATTTCAGTGAATTGTAGCTCAAGATTTGAAGATCTTCTGACCAGCTCATAAAACTACTATTGAATGTCTACAGATCAATGAAGAAAATAGCATCATAGTAACTCCTAAAAGCTTACAAATACTTGTACCCCCCCCCCCAAAAAAAAATGCCAGAGCTACAATCCATTGAAACACAAATAGGACACACAGATGGTAGTCAGCATTTGCCTGCTTCATTGCCTCTTCTTCATTAAATTGAAGAAAGTGAGTGAAAATAGTCTTTGACTTTGATCATGTCATGTATTGCTGTTGTCAAAGGACCATCTACCAATGCTTATCTTGTGTTGTTTTGTAGCTGTATTGATAAAGACCCCTCTTTTCATCTGTCAGTAGTATGTAACTTCTATTCCACATTGAACTGATATCATGACATAGTTCTTTCTACCTTCTTTTGTCATAAGGATACACAAGAAATTGTTGCACCAATAGCACGTGCAAAAGAAATTGCACCTCTAATTTCAAACTCAGTTCTAGGATGTGCTCTTGGTGTACTGTTTTCGTCTTTGGTTAAATGTAGAAATCATATCTTCATCTTTATGTATTTCTTCAACTGTTTCTTTCTCATCTTTTCTCATCTTGTTCCCTCCTATCTCTCCCCCTCCCCACCCCCCCAGGTTTACCCAAATGTTGTGTTTCCCTGTCCTGGGCCCCCCTCCTCCAACCCCCCAGGTTTCTAGGAGGAAAAAACGGGTCCAGCACCCCCCCATACGAGCCCAGCACATATCCCAGTGGGTTTCACGCTTTTGACCCAAAAAACTCAGGCCTAGGAAAAAATGTTGTGTTTCCTGTTTCCCGACCGACCCTAGAAAAAACTGCCGTCCCTAGCCTTTTTTTGGGTGGACTCAAGAGACACATATTTTTCAAGCTGATCGACTTTTTCTACCTCCATAACCTGACACCTAAGTGATGAAACGTTGTACAGTTGGTATTCCAACATTGACATTGAAAATAGATGTGTGGTCATGCAAGTTTTACTTTTGACAAACTGTACTGTATTAGTTGGATCACTATAGGTCACCAAAGTCTAAGAAAAAAAGAGAAAAAAAAAGATAATCCCTACCTACCGACCCTAATTTTTTCAGGACTGAAACAGGAAACACAATTTTTTTTCCTAGGCCTCACTAGAGTTGTGTGCTACTGGTACTAACAACCAACGTTTTCTGTCTGCAGTGTTTTGCAATGTTTGGTGTTGGTGGAAAGTTCAGCACTGTGCTTGTATATATAATTGTACATATTTATGTCTAATAAGTTATGCTTGAGGGCATGTAGGCATTTCCTTGATACACAACGTGCCTAACTTCGGCAACAATGTGTTGAACTTTGAACTGGTTGCGTTTGCTACAGCAGATTTGACACTGCCATAAGTGTAACTCGTGTTGCTGTAATTGTGGAGCAGTAAAGCCTGGTATTGTGTACAGATTATGATTTATTGCCGTACAGTATTTATGCATGTGGACAAGCATTGTTTTGTTTGCATATGAAGATGTTGGAAATATTAGCTACATTTCTAAAATTTCATTTGAACTGTTCACTTATAGGATTTTAGCTAAATACACAATGTACTCCACACCACTTTGTTGCAAACCACAATCTCACACGTCCTTGGTCTTTTTCAAGTTTGATCATGTTCAGTTGGTCACACATTCAGTTGAAAATGTTGAGTTTGGATAACACCAGTTTTTGGCAACTCCTCAGAGGCGGATCCTTAAATTGTTGATTTTTTTTCTAATTTCCAGCCCATCGATGAATGATGATTCGTCGATCTACCACTCTGTGACGGAGCCTGTATCAGAAGACAGTCTGCAGCGGGAGCCATCCAAGGGCCTCATCAGATCAGACTCCTTTGACGGAGAGGAGGCCTATGGAGAGTTGGATGAAGAACAAGCCGTGGGGAGATGTCTAGTCTTGTACCCCTTTGAAAGTAAGTGTACATTTTCTCACAGTTAACAATTTTAGAATGTGTACTCAGTGTTTTTGTATAGTTTTCGTTGACTTGATAACTTGCCCATGTTATGGTGGTGACCATAATTATTGAATTATGGTTGTCATTTTATTTTATGCAGTCGATCGAAATAAAATCTTACACTCTTTGTTAGTCTTTTTTCAAGTTTCCTCACACTTCCACTTTCACCTCTTTTTAATTCTTGTTTTCTTTACCTGTTCTTTGACACGTTTTTCATTTCTTTCTTTTACTTCCTGTTCTCACCCTGTTACCCTTTTTTTGTTCCCTTTTCTGTATATTATCTAAGGTTCAGACACTGATGGTAGTAATGATTCTAACAGAGGTAGGCTTTGTCTGAGAGTTTTTCAAAACTGCATGGCAGTCTTTTGTCCTTGCTGTCCCCGTTCTTCCTTTCTTTCTTTGTCTTTCTTTCTTTCTTTCTGTAACCTATTTGTGTATGTGTGTTTTAATAACTTCTAATTGTAGGTCAACTTGTGTTGCTCCTCTTTGTCTTTGTTGTTATAACGTAATGTCTCCCTTTCTCCATTCACATCCTTGTGTTTCTCTTATTCCTTCTCATTTCTTTGTCTCTCATTCCTCCATGTTGTGTGTTTGTGTGTCCTGTTGTTCTTACATGTGGATAACTGCATACAGACAGTGAGGATGAAATTATCCCCAGTGTTAACATATTTGATGAGCCCAGACCAGGAAGGGAAAGACCACTGTACATATACTGTGGTAGGGATGGCACTGGTAGGAACATGTGAATTTACGTTGGGATTAAAATTTTACTTCAAATTACTGGTTTAAAATGTAGTAAGAACAGTTTCATTTTCAGTGATGAAGTTGACTCACTTGCCAAAAAAATCTATGAAGTAACTAGTAAAGTAACAAGAAATTGACCTTGTGTCTTCAAACAATCGCATTATCCAGTTGTTTAAAATCTCATCTTTGCCAATGTGGTATCTTTCTAAACCATTGTCCAATTCCCACTCCAACATGTCTTGTTTGTGTGTACAAGTGTGATTTTACTTTCTCTGTCTTCCTCTTTTGTACTAAGCTCTTCTTCCTTTTAATGTTGTCTTTTCTAACTCTGTTGCATGTCATTGATTTGATACCCCTTCTAGTTTCTTATTGAGAATTATTTTGTTTCCTCTTAACCCTTAACCCTGCTGTGATCTCATCCATATAGCAAATGTGTACAGCACCACTCAGCACAGACAGGGTTAAGAACAGCCTGTCTCACCTATGTTGTATGTGAATGTCTCTGTTTTCTCCTGTGCCCTGTTGAACTGATAAACAGTGGACAGTGACGTAGACTACGCCACTGGCTCCAGTGTTGTGGATGGGCCAGTGTCGGGGCAGGGCAGGTTACTACAGTCCTTTCAGGCTAGTTCTGCATTGGGTAGGTTTAGCACAAGACGCGGGAAGGCCTTGATTAAACTAACCCTTTCTGTCAACAGCTTTTGACAGCTTTTTCAGGATATTTATTTTCATAATCTGTACGCTTTGTAGACATTTCACCATGCTTTCTTTGCATACGCCACTTCCTATAGAGACCTTCCATCTAGGTCTTCTATAAAAGTCATTCTGATGATAGGCTGCCTGGCAATATCTGCTTTGAGATTTTGGAAAAAAATTTTGAAGCAGCTTCTGTTTTGGATAGGATTTGGCAACGCGATTAGCTGGAAATATAAATGTTAACATGACCGCAGTGATATACATGTAGTACTCAGGTTTATCTGTTATACATTTATTAAGAATCTATAACATTGTCTTCAAATTCTCTTCTTTCTCTTCTTTTCCTTTTAACCACTGTTTCTTTGCTTGGCTTTACAAAGAGGGAGACATAGACATTACCGTAGGCACCAGTGTGGTCGGTAGTTCTGCCTCTAGACCAGACAGGCCTCTGTCATCCTTCACAAATAGTTTTGGGAATGGTATGTTTGTGTTTTGCAACTTTTCTGTCATTTATTTTGTTGGAGTTTTGCACAGCAATCTCAAAAGATGATGCAACAAAATATCACCATATTGATAATGTGCAATCGATTTTTGTCCATTAGAAATATAACTCATCATCACTGCTTGTGTGTTTCTTCTTTGCCTTTGTACTGTCTGTTTCAGTTTTAAGTCATTTTTCTTTTAACCGCTTTTTAGGAAGGACATAATTATTTTCCACTATTCCTCCTAATAAGAGTGTAACACAGATGTCACCACAAATGACTCTCTTGAAGATGACCCTGCCCAACCTGCTCAAGAACACTCTCTGCCTTCTGTTCAAACTAAATGTGAAGTCGGTATGTTTAGATGATATTCAGTGCAACCTTTTGACAACTTCTCTCAACAATTTCGCTGTCATTTCTTCTCACACATAGTTTAATCACAAACATCAGAGTGCTTGGTGTTATCTTTCTTTTCTGCTGGTCTGTCCTTTATTTTCCTCTTCTGTCTCATGTTTTACCTGTCTTCTCTGTCTGTGTCTGTCCCTCTCTGTGTGTTCTGACCATGACAAAGCTGCTGAGAGTGTGGCACACTTGGGTGATGACAGTGGTGAGGGGTTTTCTGATGATGATGATGATGTATTTGAGGAGGAACCTACACTAGGCAGGAGCAAGGTTCTGTACCCTTTCCAAGGTAAAAGCAACAAACCAGCGTAGAGGCAGAGCCCTCAAAGTAGTTAGCAGATTTAGCTTACAGGTGGAATGTTTCAATAGTGTGTGACACTGTGAATGTTTCAACTGTAACAGTTTGTTTCAGATACAGGTAAGAAACAGTACCGAATATTTTTTCTCTCCTTGTTTGTTTTGCATCTCTGCCACTCTGGCTACTAGGATCCAGTTTCTTTTATTGTTTGAAAAAGATTATGAAAAGTCCAACATCAGTACAATGCTGAAGAAGAGGGCCTGTGACATTTTTATGTAGGATATCCCACAGACTTCCCAGCTTATGTCTGTTGTAACTTTACTAACACTTCCAAAACTTTTGTTCCAACGCAAAAAGGTAAATGTTCTCTAGAGCTTTCTTCCTCAGTAGACTGACCCAGGGAGACTCATCACGTGGCTTTTTTTATGTGTGACGTCAACACTGGGTCAAAGGTATCTGGTAAACGATGTCAGCCTTGGTCACAGTTGAGTGAAGGGTGGTAGGCCCTGATAATAGCCTTTAATAAATAACCTTTAAACATGTATCTGCCAACACAGACAAACTTACATGAAAACATTACTCTCTTTTCCTCCAGGTGACAGTGAGGGGACAATGTCCATCCAGGAGGGCGAAATTATCGACTTCCTTAGCGAGGATGACGGCGGTTGGACAAAGGCAAGAAGGCCGACCAACGGGGACGTCGGTTACGTACCCACCACGTACCTACAGGTGGAGTTCCGCTACTAACCCACTGACGTGCGAGCCTCTTGCACCAATAGGTTATATTTATAGTCCACTGTTCTATATGCGACACACTGCGCTCTGTTATACAAGCAAGGGGAGCTGCTTGCTACTAGTGTTGGATGTGTTGTTGTATATTTATCTGAAGTCTGAAGTATAACATTGGCTGGAACTTGATGTTCTTACCTACATATAACAACTGTACATGTTGTACAGCTAAAGGTGTGTACATTCTCTGATGTATAGCATTGCTATGTAAGACAGTGACTTTGGGAGAGTACACCAATCCAGAAACACTGTGGTTGGCTATTTACAAAATGTAAGAAGACTTGCCAACTTGCATGGAGCATGAACTGTTCAATATAAATCACTTTTGCACAAAAACCACTTCAAGATATCAAAGATAGGAATGACATGTTCTAGATGTCCTGAATTGCTTTAGTAGATAACTGTACAAAATTTATGGCAACCACAGACTTCTTTCACAATGATCCAACTTAATGCTGCATGTCAGTCTGCCTTCTTGAACTGTTTGTAATTGTGATTTTGTCTAAGGATAGTTTGGCAGATAATTTTTCGGGTACAATCAGGACAAGAACCACTTAATATTCCAAACTACACAGTCAGCAGATGACTTGCCCTTTGAAACAAGAGTAGTTAGTCCAGTGGAAATCTATGTCTTGCATGCAAAGTACTTACCCATCGTAGTTTGTAGTCATGCTGAACCACAGAAATACTACTTGGTTGGTTTTCTCTGCAAAGTAACTAATGTCTGACATAGCACAAACATTTTCAAAGGTTAGATTGAAGGAAGTTGAAATAAGAGCACATAACAGCCTATCATATCTTTGTTCTTCTAACATATACACACATTACACCATCACACCATATTGATACATGAAGTAAGATATGTTCCCTCAGACCGTCATATATTTTATTGCAAACTAAAAAGTCATTATCTTGAAATTTGTGCATAAATCACAATAGGAACAACTTTGTTTATCCCTCAATAGGTTAAGTAATATTATTAAGAATTGTTAGAAATATAAATTATGATCCATGCTTGAACTTCATGTAATATCCCCAGCTAAAGAAGACAGTGTGAAGACTATGAACATTGCTGTATATATTTTATGTAAACCTGTGATTGTGGAACAACAACGTGAATCTAGCGTAGCTGCGTTTGGCAGGTTCTGTGCTGCTCTTTCCTGTGGCCTTTTTAACATGACTGTGTTGCATATCCTGTTAGCTGCATGTAGCACTAGAGGCCACACCAATGCTTTCCTCCTCTCCCTCTACATTTATCCAGACATAAGATATATCAAAGAAATGAATAGCTAATGTAGTCGGTGTGGCATAATGTTTATCTTCTTGTAGAGTGTATTTAAGGTACTCTCTCTAGCTATACTGTAAAATACACAAAGCAGTAACATCTACTGTGCTTTGCATTGCTTTTTTTGGCTGCTCACATCTGTCATCAGAAGACTAGCTTTCTCCAAGGACATTTGCAACCAAAACACTGTTTATAACGCAACTACATTCTAAAGTATAGGCTGTGATTTACAATTGCAACAGCCCATGTACAATTTACTTGAAACCAGTTGAGTCCTGTTCTAGCTGCATTTATATGAATGGCAAAACTTGTTGATTTTGGAAAGGTTTTTACAAGGACATTGGTTTTTCTAACACCCATGGTGTTGGTGCTTTAAAGAATGTTTACAGTGGGGCATCTATTGAAAATATAACATCTTGATGATTTGAGAGGTGCAATGAATTTATTTACATGTGAAAAAACTTTAGCCTGAAATTCAGCCTACATACAGTTGCTACCCTGCCATGAAGGGACTTTGTTTTTGGACTGAAACGCTCGAAAAGTCTGACGCTATAAATTGTAATAGCTCCTCCTATCTGCACTACCCTGTACTGCACATTAACTATTGTGTTAAACATTATTTTTGCATGTATCTGATCTATGTTGGCTATTATGTACATAATCACAAGATAATATTTGTTGATTGGCTTGTTTTTTATGCAATATGTATTTGGTACATATGTATGTGTCAGTTATTTTGGTTTTATATGAATTTACAATCATTTTTTGTAGTAGTAGCCACACTGTATGTTAGAGTGTTAAAAGCATATATTATGCTTGTAGCTCAATTTTATCACTAAATCTAGCTATGCCACATGGTAAATACAAATCTTGATAATGCTTTGTGGAACAAAAATTATTTGACAACAGATTATTAAGTTAGGTTTGTTACAAATGAAGTTTAATTTCTGTGCCACTGTGGACAACACAAAATTTATATTTGCTGTATAGAAACCTTACACATGAAGGTAGTAAAACAAACATGCATTGTATAAGACAGCTCTTGATTCTATTATCCTTTGCAGTGGTAAAGTGGCTGATTTTTGTTTAGAAGTCCATTTTGAACAGATCCAACATTTTCCAAAGTAACGCTAATCACATCCCAGTTTGTACATGTATTTTCTACAGAACTACAGACATACCAATAACAACTCATCCAACTTTTGCAGTTTTGATAAACCATGCATGCTTATGTCAATATATATGTATGATATATATATATATTCGTTAAGTTTCACAGTGTGTCACAATGCCATGGATTTTATAAAGACATGTACTCAGACTAGCATTGTATGTTGCTCCTCTGGAAAAGAGACAGATACAGAATTGTATGCGTAGTTAAGTCATAATAGTTAGTCCTAGCTTTAACATACTGGTATTGTTTAAGTAGTGATACTCCACATGATATGTAGAATGCACTGATGCATGCAGACTGTTCCAGTAATGGGTTTGATTACATTTTATACAGAGCATATGTATAATAAGACAGGTGCTTGTTGATAGTTTATTCAATCACATAAACTATTGTAACAACAGTGTACAAGGTAATGTGATAGTTGTGCATGTGGTATAACTGAAGATAGTGCAACACACATGTAGTTAACGGAATGGCTAACCAAAATATCAGAATTTTTGTATGATGTCTTGTAAATGATGGGAGGATAGCTGGAGGGTGAATAAAGTTTGTGGAACTACTGTTAGCGGAGTGTTTGTAACTGTTGCTTTACTTGCTAGGTAAGAAGACCATTTACATATTGATGCATTTTGTCTTGGTTGCCAAACAAGTGAGCCGAAATTTCCCAACAGTGTTTGATGTTAGAAGGGAAATCTCAGCACATACGAGGCTAATCTCTCTACTAATACAAAAATAGACAAACATTCCAATGATATGAAAAAGCAACAGACATGATCCTGGCAAATTTTGGCTCTTTTTACTCAGGAGCTTAGACTGAACTCCCTCTACATGCATGTTTATGACTGTGTAGTTAAGAGCTGGGTACAAAGGTCAACAACTCTAGAGTTCAATGTACATGTATGTAATGTGAACATTTCGAGCTGCTTGTATTTCGGGGAGTTCCTTGAACGTTGGAAGACCAGCCTTATCGTCGGGATTGTAGTTATGTAAGTACACGGGCATTTCCAGTTGTCGTTTAGCCATAGTGTAAGTTCTGTCAGCCTGGTATCAAAACCTGTCATTCTCCTCTTTCGTCCTCGGAAGCTCTGATACTTTCTGACACCGGGCTAAAGTTCAGTATAATTCGTATCGGTCTTTCTGTTTTCTATCGGCTGCTATCAAAGGGTTTAACTATGTGATTTTACCCTAACCAAGCAGCCAAAATACCGCAGGTGTAACTTAAGCAATGTTTTCAATATTCTGAAATACACCAATAGCTCATAATGTTACCGCAAATATGATTTTTCCGTTCTCACTGTGCTTGTTGTTTTCCTCTGCATGTTGCACCTGAATTTTACCTTATAGATACATGTATTTGGACATTGCCATTAACGTTGATCCCTGTAGCCTGACACAATGAAGACAGACGTGGACCCGGTGCATGTCGCAGTCGGACTGCTGGTGCCAGTTGTGACGTACCTGCTGTACGTAGTGACCAAGTTCGTCTGGAGATACTGGCGGGAGTTCCGAGTGGGGCGGCCGTTCCCCTGCCCTCCCTACCACTGGCTGTACGGCAACCTGCACCTGGTGGGTACTCAATGTGGACAAGGAGCTTAAAATCT